CGACCTGCATATTATGCCGTCGTCGTTTGGGCTAGCGCATTTTTTTGTGTTGCGCGCTCGGGAACAAAAAATACGCCCCTATACTTCACCCGGGTAGCAAATTGTCTGTGGCAATAGATTTTTAATTTTGATACTAAAAAGTAAAATATGTAAGTCCCAAAATAATAGGTAATTAAAACTTACGTATACGTGGACACTTCGGGTAATATATATAGCTGCAAGGAAATATCTTGAGTGCAGACGCCATATCGAGGAACTTCTTTCTTCATCTAAATCCGAACTGAAAAAATCGAGATTTTTTATAAAAATTACTTGAGTAGAATGGAATATGTGAGTGAATGATTATTGTTGCCTTACACTTTTCTCTTTTGTTCAATGAAATTATTAGAATTGTGAATCGTCTCCGATGAGTGACGACGATCAGCTTTTGCCATAGATGATAGATATTATAATACGATATGTTGTTATCAGTTTTCAAGTTTTTGAATTCTTCGAATGACCTGATACAGTTTTTATTTCAGATTCCGAAACAGAATATTATTAGGAGTGTTTAAATCTATACAATTCAGAACACGGAACTCAGCGTAGGTATAGGCCATTTAGATACACTACTGTCGGGAGTCCATTTTTTTGTCCGGCATCTCACAATATTGTTTTTTGTGTCTTAACGGTTAAACTATATTTTAAGATAAAACTCTAGAAGTGTCGAGACATGAAAAAATTCAAAATTAGGCTTTGAAATTTACAGAAGTAATAAAACAAATGGATACTTTAATCGTGAATTTAATATTGTCTCTGGGCTCAGCATAATTATGTTATGAACTTACAACTAACTCATTTTTTTTATGTACATAAATAGTCAGTTTTCTTGTTTTAAAATAATAAAAACTAAATTTTAATGTAATCCAGCATCATCAATAATAATAATTTTTACTATATTTATTATTTAAACTACGCAACAATAACTTGATTAAAAGTAACTCATTATTTAATAAATGTTTAGCAATAAAAATCAGTTAATTTGAAAATGTTAAGATATTGAAAATCATATTTAAAAAAAAATGATTTTATTGAGAAATCAAAATGTCTATAATTATTTATGAGTTTATGATAAGAGTAACAAATAGGTATAAATATCATTAATATGTTCAGTTATATGACACGTGATATTAGAACACTTGATAATACATTTTTTTTTTACTACTAAAACTACTACTACTTTTTGTTTACGTCTGTTTTTTTACAAGACCGGAATATTAAGCCTTTATGGCTCATATGAATTATGATCTGACAATAATTTCCATACATAAAATATAGTTCTCTTAGGTGTAGGAGTTTAAATCATAAACTAAAATGTCTTACAAGTATTTCATGGATTGTACGAGTTTCGTAAATCACTATTTTACAAAAAAACATTTGGTAGGTACCTACCGAGCGGAGTTTTAGTTACTAGCGTTATTATAAGTCCTATTTAAAATTATTACCATCCATTATTTTCAGAATAATACAAAAAATAACACATATTGATTTTGTTTAAAATTCAAAAGACATTTTTGAAACATCATGCTGTTTTTTTATTTCGACGATGACGCGCTTAAGGACACTGGCACACAGCATATTGTTTATATGCAGACAGAAAAAATTAATTATGTTTTAATCAATTATTATGTATATTTTTTCATTAATTTACCACAGTATGAAGAAATACCCCCACGCAAGTCCTCCCTCTTGCACGACCGGAACGCAATGCTATAATTTAATAATTAATAAGCTTATTATTAAAGTATCTTTTCGAATATCTACGTTACACTGAGCCAAGCACGTTTTTGGACATTTTTTAACACTAGCTGATATTATATTAGAACTGCGAGTGATTACTCCGAGGAAATATAATATTTTCAGATGTTCGTACACATCGGCTAATAAGTATAATTGTGTACAAAGGCAACGTTTCAAGATGATATCTCTTTAATAATAAGCGTAGATACCTATATTAGATAAACGTTGACGTAGACGTGTATTGTGGAAATGACAGCAGCACACTGAAAGTGAAACGTTTGTAGTCGGAAAAAGGTATGTTATTTATCATATTAGCGGAAGAAGCGAATAACACAAAACGTCAACCTACAAATTTGGATACTATTTAATTATCATTATTAAATTATACACTTACCACGTTTCAAAGGTATTGGTTTTAAGGTAACATTCTAAAAGTTGGGTTTATTTACTTAATATATTCACTTTGTAGCCTCTTTATTATGTACTACAAAAATGTGCAATTACAGGTAAAATATTATTATACGACATTGTTATGACTTAAAATATTTTTAAAAAGGTTACTCACCAGTCACAACAGTGTCAAACAGGGTAAACCATAAAAATGATATGTTTTAGACACTTCTATAATCTATGTATATTATTAGAAATGTATTTATTTATTTATTAGAAATTATGTATGTAACCTCAGAGAACTATAGAAATTAATTATTTCTGACTGATGATCTTTTAATAGTTTGTGTTCCATACCACCGAGAGTCTAATTTGTGTTATAATTATAATATATAAGAAAATAAGTTGCAGTGAAAGCTCTGTGGTCTGTTTTATGCACTTACTTGATCAGTCGTTCAAAATTTAAAATCTCACAAATCACAATGAAACAACAGTATTTTATTGGTCCAACAGCCACCTGTAATCTGAAACAAAACAAATCCAGTATTTATTTTTAATATTCCTATTTCTATTAATCCATATTATAATAAAATTGCACTATAATAAAATATGACCATATAATATATGATATATAATGCAGTAGGACAACGTAATTGTGTGCATTACTGCATTATTATATAATAATGTTTATAATATTATATTTTAAATGCTTCGTTTTATTTAAAATGTTAACAGTATCGTTACATTAAATTCAATAGGTCATATTTTGTGAGATACGGGTAAAACCGTAATGTTTCTCGCCTTCGCCCTAAGTCGATTGAAAATCAGTGTCAATATCATTAAATAACAGCGTTACAAAAGTCTTATACCCATTTTTTTTTAACCTATTATTATCTTAATGTAATTTATTTTACGCGGTAATACTCGCGAGAGGTATATTTTGTGTAAACCAACTCGTGTGTCACCCACATTTTTGTACGAAACAACATTCTGACTACATTTTCAATCCGAGCACGTATACCTATACATTAAGAGGGGAGCTATTATAGGTACCTATATCATTTTTATATACCTACCTATCTGTATACATATATACCTACCCTCGATTTTGGATAAAACAAACGGCTAATAGCACTTAACCGCGACTTTAGACTATATATATTTACAGAGATTGGCATGTTGAGCGGTATTGATTGGCCGGCGAGGTTTACGGTGTACGCACCTACTTAAATTGCACAAGACTGTCTGGGACGAGGGAGTGCGGGCCTGGAGTGTAGTCGTCAGGATATCAATCCCTTTTATCCTCTCCGCAGCCGTCATTGTTTTCGGACAAATTGCTACGGACATTATTTATTTTTATGTTTTTTTTTTCAATCTCTATCGAAGAAAACGCTTTAAGTCTTGCGTATTATAGATATCACAACTATTATTATATATATACTGCAGTAAACGTCTGCCAGCAATTATTGTTCGATAATATAATATAAAATACTACAAATCGTCTTACTTGGACGGTCTATGCAACAGTTATTGGGCGTGTCGACGTATATTTTATCCGTGGGTGTTATAATATACCTAAATATATTGGCTCATCGAAAAGTCATTAATGTTTGGAAGTATATCGAAGAGAGCAGTCTTTGCGTCGAGAGTAGGACGTAGAAAAAACAGATAAGTCAAGCATAATGACAATATCACAACTGAAACAACCGAACAGTGAATTAAAAACCAACCTAACGGCTACGAGACGAAAACATCATCGTCTCATATTTATTTATGTACGTGAGTGTTTACAAAAAGTTATCGAGGTGCAATCTCGCTCTGTTATTGAGTTGTACTTTTGTACTAATAGTATTATGTAATAACTTCAAACTTACTAGGTTTTTTTTTTTTGGCGATGGCTGATCACAATAAAATCGACTCGGGGTGACATAACTTTGCGGGGATGGGGCGGAGAGGGCTGCGGTGAGGCGTAGAGGATTGTTAGCTTATGAATTATATTCCGCATAGTATTTTAAGTAAATCACTACAAGTATATTGACAATTATGCACGATAGAGCCGATATAGGTATGTATATTATATAGCGTTGTTTTATTATACGGATAGCCGAGGTGCGGACGAGAGATTTAAACGAAACAAAAACGGTCGCGTCTAAAATACAAAAGCGATAGCGTTACAATAACATAATATTAAGGTATACTTTCGATGCGATGGATTCTCCCATTGAATTGCACATGGGTATAAGATACATCTATTGTCCGTATATCTTATGTGCGTATAGGTAGTACCTATTTCGCTATGTGTGGGCGACCGTTTGCGATACACCTATTTTATATAAGGACATATTACATATATTAATATGTAATGTGTATACCTATATACATTATAGTGTATACGCGCTTAGCGGGATTCGTCGAGATTCGCCGAACAGATATATATCGGGGGGGCAAACGCGTCCGCGTGCCAAACGTAGCGGAATTAATGAAATTCGAGTGGCTAGACCTAACTCTCCGCCGCTTGTCGAGCCCTTCGCTCTGGCGCATATACGTATACACATTACACGCGCCCCGCGAGCGGACAAGAGCGATCGCGCGATAATACAACGATATAATACGATATATTATTTTAAAAGCGGAGAATGATAAAACGATTCTTGTGTTGCGTTTCGGAATTCTTTTACCATACATTAAAGAGCCGAGTCGGGCGCACCTAACCCGTATTATTATACCGCGGCTGCCTCGCGCTCTTATACGAACACTCGGAGAGTCTGCGAGGCGGCCGCGGCGTCGGACCGGCCAATCGGTGGATCGCATTCGCGGGGGCAGCGCTTTCCGCCCCGCCGACGCCGGCCGAAGACTCCGGAGTTGGCGGTCTCTCTCGCACTCTCCGTCTCGCCCAACGCTCCGTCTCACTCTTCCTCTCCGGTTTTCGTCACTCGCCATCGCAATAGCCGCAGCTAGGTGGTACACTGCAGTCATCGGCTTACCGAATCGCCGGTCGTCCGGGAAAACTGTTGCGCTCACCGCTGTGTTGCCGCCGAAATAGGTCAGTATAATTTATAATTTATTGTTATATTATTATCGTAACGATAATACGCATAATACCTATAGCCGACAGTTGACGTCCATAATAACAATAATGATTATAATATACGCAAACCCCTTTTATGATGTACCTATATTCGTACTTGTCAAAAAATATGTAAAAAAAAAAAATACCTAAAGGGTTGAAAAATAAGTTATTATAATAAAATAAAGTTGTATATTGTTAATTTAATTCTAAACTAAAAATAATAAATGTAATTAGTAAAACTATCTTCAAGCCTATTCAATTATACGAACATAAATATTTGTCTCACTTCAAATATAAGAAATAAAAACACATACACGACTATTACAATACGGGATACAAGGAAAGGGTGTTGAGCACTTCATCGTTTACGAAATAATACTATCGTTTGATAGTAAGTTATAGTTTAAAACTATTAAAAAAATTGAACAGTGAAACCATTATTTTAAAACCAATACCTTAAATAGAACTATGAAAAATTGATTGCATACTACTAACAAATTATATGAGAACTTTATAAGTTCTAAGTATCCGAAATATAGTGTGGCCTCATGTTGTCTGCCAGTATTATTATTTATTGCAACTATATGGGTAGATCTTGATTTACATTTTTACACGAGTACTCTCGTACTATTAAACACTATACATGCTGGCCCGCCGTTAAATATTTTCCGCCATAAAGCGAAAGTTGTATAGTGTCGCTCTTCTTCACCGATATTTATTTTATTTTGTCGCTTATAATTTAAGACAGTACTAAAGCAACACTAGACTTGCCTTTGCCCTAGCAACAGGCCTGTATATGTGTATTGGTTTTGTCAGTTTGTCACATTCCATTTATTAATAGACACGTTTAGAAATGTGCACATTTGTTGAAAAATTTGGAATTAACAATATATTAATTGATGTCATGAAAGAATCACGGAGCGATTATTATACAAGCACTCAAAATTGATTAAATATAATATTAATATATATATATATATATTTAAACTAATGGCGATTACTGATTACATATTTTTTGTACTGTAATCAATCTCTTTTCATCAACCACAATTTACTGAACGAATTGAAATGTTGAAATACGTACGTATGACATAATTAACGGACTTTTATGAAAAGGGTCTGGTTTGAAGTAATTCTACACTGTAGCATATTATCAGTTCATTAGGTTACAAAAACAAAAATTAACTATTGAAAAACTATGAAATTGTTTTTGCACGATATGTCCCTTAGAGTTCCTTAGTTATTACTGATTACCGTTTTCCTTTTGTGAACATTTAAAAATCAAAATTAATGCTTTCAATGGATTTTAATACAATTTTTACGTTCTTAAAGTAAAAAATAATCAAAGAAATGAGAAATGTTTAGACTTTTAAATGTTTAAATTTTTAAATGTGTATTGTTTACTAATGGATTGCTATACTTCTGTGTAATTTTGAATACTAGTAAACCGGTGTTTCGTGTTAATATGTATTGAAAAATAGTATCTATGAGGTTTATTTGGGAACGTTCTAATAATTAGGGATGTGTCCCTGGAAAACTATTCATTTGCGAATTCCCGGGGGCACGCAAGAATTCGTGGGAAACATTAAGCGAGTGCGGCATCAAGTTGTCGTTTGAGCTTCAAGACTAAAAACGGTGTATTTCATTTCAACGTTGCAGTTTTTTTTACTAAATACTAATTAAAAAAACAGTTGACTGCTTAAAATATAAAAAACAAAACACTATATGCAAGGATATGAAGGAATGTAGATTGTAAGATGATGGATATATACCTACATTGTCTTTTATCCACGATAATTTTTCGCTAAGGTACCCAATACCCATGTTTCTGTGCAGTGTTTGGACAAGGCGTCTTGCGTCAACTAATAAATAATATACTCAAAGTTATTTGGTTTTCATGACTTGTAGTACTTTTAACTTTTAAACTGTAATATAATATATTTATAAATATAATATTTTATAATTTATAATAACGAAAGAAAACATGTCAACGTTGCATAAAAAACATGCGGAATCGCGAATATAGGTATAGGTAATATAGGTATATTTATGACAATGACATTTACATAATCGTTTATTTATACTATGTTTTATAAAATCTTCACGATCTTGCGAAATTGTGGAATCGTTCCCTATCGACCTTTGCGATCATATTTTCAATTCATTTCCATTTAAAAAATCTTAGCATGCCTCTTTGAGAGACTGGTTGGGAAACACAGTTATTTAGGAATACATGACCGCCAATAAATGTATTCAGTTCTAATTTGTTTCCGATTGTGTGCAGAAAATAACTATACATAAATTGGATTCGGCGGAGGCAGTTTATTTGATGTGCTCGACACCGTCTGCAGCTCAAGAGGGTTTTGTGTTACGATGTGTTTAAGTGGTTTTTAATTACATTAATATAATAATATACTACCTATGACCGTTTCTCTCGTAATGTTTGGTCTCGATAAGTCTTTCTCCACTGTTTCTTTAAAAATATATAATAGTATTATGTTTGGGGGATGAGCTGGAAATATAGTATAGGTGCAACAATTATTATGCTCTTTGGATTTTGTTTAATGACTTCAATGTGTATATATTTTGTGATGTTACAATATTACAAACAATGTGATATTATTCTCACAAAAATACTTGTTATAATTGTAATATACAATATTATAATTCATTTTTTAGTTGTTAAATATCATACTTAATATGGTACAATTTACGAAGCATGCTCATGGATCACCTCCATTATCAATCCAATAGATTTATTCAAATTCTGATTTTTGGAATTTTGAAGTTTATTTAACTACAATATTTTCAAAACCTTTTATTGTTTACCATTTAAGGAGTGTTCTATGGTGGTTCAAACTACATATTTATATTTTTAATCCAAACCTTCCACTTTTAAGCAATTTATATTTTTGAAAATATTGATGCATCTAAAGCAAAATTCAAATGAGTAGTTTCTGAAGTTATTATAATTTTAATACTAATGTTAATAATTAATTTTAATATTAAAATAGGTTTAGGAGATACGTATGCTACCTATGATGAATAAGAAATTGTATTAAGATATTGTATTAATTTACATTTACTTGAATGTAAAATTGTATTATTATTAAAAGTTGGCCGAGTATAATAATTATCCGACTAAATATTAGATATTTAGATGCATTTTATATTACATGCAGGTAAAAACATTATAAAGGGCTATTATCCATTAACACTTATAAATCAAAACCTTCTCATTCACATTTCTATTTAAATTTATTAACATTTTCCAAAAATGATCCGATAATTAGTTACAATTAAAAAAGAATTTTTCATCACCAAATGATAATATTTTAATAGTAAATAATCTTAAGATTTGACAATATGGTCTTTCGGACTTTGATATTTAAAAAAATATATTATGAAAGGATAAAATTAAGGATGAGCATGCTTGATAAATCCACCTTCGTTTCATCCAGTATACTTTCTATTGTAATATTGGACTTATCAAACTTATTGCTCATACATTGAATCGATTTTGTAAATTTTTGAATTTTACTACATTTTTCATTACTGATCTGTATTTTATTTTTTTTTCCCAATCAGTTATGCAATTGCTTCAAACCGATCGGCTCTTCGTGTTATTCAACATTTTACAAAATTAATTTTCTTTGAAACCTTGACAGTAATACTAATACGATTCTCTTTTTCAAGTATAGAATATAATTCCATCTTCCTTAATTAGTGCCTCTTGAAATACTCCTCAATTCATTATTAATTAGTATTTACTAACTAATAATAATGAATTTGCGTTAAAACTCACAGCGTAAGACCTCACTACTCGACCAGTGTGACGGAATCGCATCCTCAAAACCCGTGAAGTAAAATTGTAGTTATAATGTCATATATTATAAACTATTGTGCTGTTATTATAAATTGCAGAAACGATTCAGTTGTGAAAAAATATTTCATCCCCTCTCCATAAAAACTGTGTAGGCAAGTTACTGCATTTAATTATATTCACGCCTAAATAACATGAAACAAAAACCTTTTTATTATTATTTTAACTAACCTGACATAATAAAGAGGTTATAGCCTCATAGGTGAAACAACTGTATTAATTGACTAACTAATATTTGGACTTAATTATAAAATGTATGTTAATTTTAAATTTTAAATTTTTAAGTTCAAAATGAGTGGTTCTGGAAAAAGTCTCCTTGGTCTTTGGCTTTACCGAACTGGAGAAGATTGGACTCTGAGAGAGGCATCTCAAACAGCTGTATGATACTCTAATTTTAATAAATTGTTATCAAATTTTTCGCTAAACAATATACATATTACAGCCGAGACCTACAGTGAGTGGTCGACCAGATCAGACAAAATTTGATACAAAGAACTCTGTAATATTCTCATTGAAAAATCGAGTCGGTGGACTTGCTCAAGCACTTCAAGTTTTTCAAGTAAGCAGATTTCATTATGTTAAACAATTTATTGTACTCAATTCGGATAATTTAATATATAAGCAAACGTGAAATCAAAATATAATATAAACAAGCAATGTAAAGTTGATTTTTGGATGAACACTCCGTGGAACTAAATAATTGAATTATAATTCTTCTATATCATTATTAATACTGTCCTCTTTAATTAAGTCAGAATGTAATTGTATTCAAATATATGGCAGGAGAAAAATATAATTCAAACATTTTATTTTTATGTCCTAAATTAATGTAGACAAAATCTTGTATACTTAAGTTGTACAGCTTTAGTGAATCTAATATATTACAAAAAAAATTGTAAAGACAAATAAGTATGTTTATTCTAATTGGAATATTGGAAGCTTAAATAAAACATCTCAAAATGAAAACCCTGTACAAAAATGAACAAATACACATCTTTAAACAATATTATTGCACGGACAAAAAAATAGTAGTTCAGTTTCTTTGAATTTTATCATAAAGAAATATAAATAATAACTCATGCACTTGAGTTGCGTCACTTGAGAGAACATCATATGTTTCCATACCTTTCGGAGCATTAATTTTCATCCACCTCGGATCCTTAGTGATCCTTGTAATATTTATTATAACTACCGAACCTACTAAAATACAACAATTTTGTATTAGCATTGCCATCTACTAATGTCAGACGTTTATCATACAATATATATGTGTATATATATTTATTCATACTTGATTTGATATATTGACCTAGTAGTGAGAATATTTGTAATTTGTATTATTCTTTTTATATCTATTTCTCACGAGAAAAATTAATCATAATCAATTTATTATTTTTTTTTTTATTAATCCTTAAAGCTTGTTATACTATAGTAATGTACAATGTATATTTTAATCCTATAGGATTTAGGTGTAAATGTGTTGCACATTGAATCTAGACCATCTCGCCGTAGAGAATCGGAATTCGAAATTCTGGTAGACGTGGAGTGTGACAATAAAAAAATGGAGCAGTTGACTGGGATGTTGAAGCGTGAGGTTGCAGCTATAAATTTAGCAACGTACGAGAGTGGTGCCGAAGTGCCACCTCCTACTCCGATGTCAGCTACGGCTAGTTTTGGTAAAAATGCAATTAAGCTTATTCAAGTCCAAATTTTTTAATTCAATTATTTTAAAATACTATAACTATTACGTTTTTTTTTATGAATGACTCATTGTGCTATATATTTTATTGTTATTTTACTATTAGACAACTAAAATTAAACATAATTTATTATTCAGTTTATGCAAAAAATTATTTGAAGGAATAATTTTATTTTTATTTAAATGACAATAGTTTTTCCCCTTTACCGATGTTATTCTACAGGTGTTCTTGTAGAAGTCAAACGAAATCACGAAAGTTAGGCTATTGGTAAAACTTTTTTTTTAATAGACTTTGATTATTGTTTGATTGTTAATTTTATGCTATAAGATTTTTCAGAGTTTGAGCTTCCGTGGTTTCCGAAAAAAATTTCTGATTTGGACAAAGCTCAACGAGTACTGATGTATGGAACAGAGTTAGATGCTGACCATCCAGTAAGTTTTTTATATACATCATATAACTAATGGCTGAGAACTTTTTAAGATTTTGTTATAATCTAATTCACTATTCTCTCAGGGATTTAAAGATCCGGTGTATCGAAAAAGGCGTGTAGAATTCGCACACATAGCGAACTCTTATAAATAGTAAGTAACATTTTAATATTAGACATTAACGGCAATATTTCTGTGCTGCAATGACACAAGTACTTAATCATTACAAAATACAACGAAATTATCGTTATATGTATTGTCTTAAAACTTTCGATTAGATGCTTAAAATATGACGACATTGTTTCAGTGGACATCCAATACCAAGAGTTCAGTACACGCCTGAAGAAATCAAGACTTGGTGCGTGAATTTCCGTTTGAATTTTCTTATCAATTAAAAATCTACAGTGTATTAATTAATAGGAAAGTCTGTAACCATTTTTATACTTTTTTGGAAATCATAAAAGAATTGTCAACGCATTTCTAAATTTTCTTTTTATATACCATGGTTAAAGCCAAAGAAAGGCCTTTCGTCATATTTTACTAAAATAAAAAAAAAGCCATTTTTAATATTCGTACTACGTCATAAACTAGGGTTATTGATTTTGCGATATCAATAGTCTAGGAAACCCTCTGTGTTTATGAAAAATGTACGCTATATTGCACTGTCTAAGACATTGCGGTAATAAAAGTGTATTTAATTTCGATCAGAACAAAATATTTTGGACCGTATTTTTCTTCTCGCATTACTATACGTATCCTGATCTGTTTATTTTTCAAATAAGTTATTCATCGGCAGAGTTCTCGTTCGGTGGTTAACCTGCTCAGTCGGTAATTAATCCGATTATCTCGAATAAACGTCGGGTAGTTCAAAGTCGTATAGACACCGATATTCAAACGGTTATTGAGTTATCCGGATACAGCGCATTTACGTCTGCGCTTTCATACGACAATAATAACATATAAGCACCTTTACTGCGAAAATCAACTTGATTATTGTTGCGTATACAAGCGAATGCGCACGTATGCATTTTATGAATACTCGCATTGATAATTTAATTGAATCTACAAAACTGTCAAGACGTAATGAAGGGAATTTAATCCTGCGAACAGGATACGGCGAGCGATCCAATAGAGTCTGACCGTCTGTATATGAAATGTCGCCGTTAATAATCACGTCAAAAACAATTTTCTTTGGTGAAATCGATACGAGTGTACATATATATATATATATATATATATATAAATGATATATAATTTATTATATTATATACTTTTCAGGATTTTCCAAACTATACAGATAAAGACACGCGCGTGCATGCGTTTTTTTCGAGATATAACCAATAAAGTATTACGTGACATAATGTTTTGTTCTGCCTCCACATTTTTCTTATTTTTTTCGACGCGGTGCCGACGATTTTTATCGTTTATTTTTTTTCAATGTTGATTGATCATTAATTGTTGTTTATCGTCCTTAAAGTATTATTATATCGAAATCCCAATTCATGATTTGCCTCAGGGGAACTGTGATGCGTGAACTGCACAAACTGTACGTGAAACACGCGTGCAGGGAATACTTGGAGAACTGGCCGGATCTAGTGAAGTACTGTGGTTATCGAGAGGACAACATTCCGCAGTTACAAGACGTAAATACATTTTTGAAACGTAAGTGAGTCGCTCCAAGCGGTTATACATACCGGCTACAACTGTCGGTTGTAATCGGATAAAATTAATTATATTTATTAATTATTGGCCGGCGTGATGTATAGGCAATTCCGGTGCAATGCCATTTGAAAGGTACCTTGTTCTAGACAAATTCAATGTAAGAATAGTAGTTCGAAGCGACCAAAATAAAGTGTTAAGTGCCAAAGTCTGGGCACGTGCGACTAGTGTGAGTGACAGCGAAATCTCGGATTTCAAGTAGTGCGTGTTTTTTGGTTATGCCACACTGTCTTTTGTTTTCGTTATAAATCCATAATCAAGTAATAGAAACAATATGTTGTAATGGAGGCCCAAACGGATGCGAATAGAATTGTGTAATATGCACAGTATATTTAAACACCCTAAACTTCAAAAAGTACCAATTTAATAAGCACATTTTTTTGAATATACAAACCTAATAATATCATAATGCAGAATATGCTTTCTTTTGTTTTTGGTGTAAAACATCTACGCAAAAATATGAACTTGCATTTAAATCCGAGACGTACATTTAATATTGGAAACTCCGTCTACGACCTATCCCCCCCCCTCACCCACCCACAAAAACTACCATAACCGACACTGTTTACCTACAATTTTGTTAGTAAAATATTTAATTAGGAGGAGAATCAAAAAAAAATATATATCGCCCTCTTTTCGATAGGAACGCGATCTACCGGCTCGCATATTACAGTGGTTTCAACAATCATTAGAAATTATTGGTAAGCTCTTGCGTACGAATTTCAGGCAAAACAGGCTTTCAATTGCGACCGGTGGCCGGGTACTTGTCCCCAAGGGATTTCCTCTCCGGGCTGGCATTCCGCGTATTCCATTGCACGCAGTACATGCGGCATTCGTCGGATCCGTTTTACACACCGGAACCAGATTGTTGTCACGAGCTGTTGGGACACATGCCGCTATTGGCCAATCCCACATTCGCACAGTTCTCGCAAGAACTGGGACTCAATTCGCTGGGAGCCAGTGACGAGGACGTTGAAAAGTTGGCGACGGTAAGCTTCACTCACGTTGTTTAGTGGTTACTGGTTGAAATATGAAATCAAGGGGCTATGCGATGAAGTTTCTTTTGAAACCGCACATATTTTGACTAAATACGATTTTGAGTATTAAGAGCTCTCGGAAGGGTCGCAGGCTTCTTTTCACCATGGAATCTAGAGCTGTACATTTTCATGAACATTTTGAAATTTTTTTATACAGATTTCGTGGTTATTATTTTTTTTTAAGTTATAGACATTTGTTGATTGGACACAATACAATTACCAACAATATAGTATTAAAATAAAATAATTAATAATTATCACAGTTTTTGTTATTATTACTAAATACTAGTAAATAGTATAATAAATACGTAATAATATTATAATATTATGAATTTTTAATACTATTATTAGTTATTACTTATTACAGTTGGAAACGTGACTATAGCCTACATCCCCCTCTGTCGCTATTTATGTATCTAACTGTTGCCCAAAAAAAAAGAAAAATTGAAAAAAATGAAAATACTTGAAAAATCGTAGCGTTGAAAATTTTATAGCTTACAGCTCTTTCAACCCCTAAACCGTTGGCTCACATAATTGTTTTTTTGCTATTTACAAAAAGTTGTCATTTTTTTCAACAAATAAAATGGTTATTTTAATTGGATACAATTTTCTGTATTGTTATATTATATTAAATTTGGTAACTGTCATGAAACCTAGATATAAACATAGCCAATTTTCATGATGTTAATTTTGTAAATGTTTTTTCCTTTATTTATATTTCGTATAAGGATAATAGTTTTCGGGGATTAACAAATTTGGAAAAACCTTGCTTTTCTCAATTATATGTCACCTGTTCTATAGTCGCCTTAAAATATGAACGTACAAAGTACATTCTACTGACATGACAAAAGACATCGTTTACCACATAGAATTGAAAAATCTGCTCTTTTGCCATTAAATATGATCTTTTTTTTACTATTATTTTTGTATCTACTTCAAACTACTATCAGATCATGTGCAAAGTATTTAAAATTTGTAGTTTTTGATTTTTAAATGTTTCAATGAGTTTTTCACAGGTATTTTATATTACATTTTTTACTGGAGCAAACCAGGAAACGATATTTAAATTAATTTTAACCCTGACAGAGTCCGGTAATACAACGAGTTGCTTACTGATAAAATAACATTATAATATTATACCGCATGGTCACCGATTGGTCAAAAAAAAAAAAAAAAACTAGAGCATAGAATATCTACACGAATCGATTTCTATCAATATTCGACGCATGTGTAATACTGTAATAATATGTTAATGGGATGATTGTATTTTTATGTTTACTTTAGCTGTACTTCTTCACCGTGGAATTCGGAATGTGCAAACAAGATGGCGAACTGAAAGTTTACGGAGCTGGGTTGTTAAGCTCGGTGGCAGAGTTACGGCATGCGATTGAAACCAACGATAAACTACAGCGATTCGATCCCGAAGTTACGTGTCACCAAGAATGCATCATAACGTCGTACCAAAACGCCTATTATTACAGTGAGACATTTGAGGAAGCTAAGGAAAAAATGAGGTGATTTATAGTTCAAATATATTCTGTGTGTGCAGTGCATACACTGCGTGTCATCGTTTTTGTTTTTCTTACATCGATTTAAAAAAAAAAATGTTAAGTGACATATTATTATTATAATATAAATACAAATTTATCAGAGTTGAAAAATGCACGCTTATTAGAATACACAGTTTCTATATTGAGGTCGTTCGACTTAACTTGAGGAGTGAGGACTATAAGGCATTAATATTCGATAGAGAAATGTTAATTATATTTTATTAATACGAGTTACAATTAACAATTGAAGTTATTGTATTACTTGCGTTTCAAAACTCAAAAAAGAATTCATAAAAAAATAAAACAAAGAAGCATCTAGTGCAATAATAATAAACACGGGAGATGTATATATATAGATCATTTCGATACATTTAAGTAATAAAATAATGAAAACTCAGCAAAAGTGATTGGTTTAAAACGTTAATCGGAATTGGAACGCAAAATTGATTTGTACGCCTTGTAAGCCTTCATATTTACGTCGGTTTTCGTTTCAGGGAGTTCGCCGACAGCATTCAAAAACCGTTTGGGGTGCGTTACAACCCATACACGCAGAGCGTGGAAATCTTGAGCAATACGGACAAGATCGTGGCTCTAGTGTCGGAACTCAGAGGTGACTTGTGCATTGTAAGCAATGCACTGAGGAAAATCCACGCCGAAGACGAAGCGGTGGAGAACATCAATAACATGTTGCACAAAGGAATGAACGTGAGCGGAGTTTCGCCGGAAAAGTCTCCCGAGAAGTAACGGAGTCCGGAGGAATATCGGAGGACCGTAGATTGAGATTACTCTTGCAAATTAGTCAGTTATTTAAAAAATAAAACAAACAAACAAAAAACACTAATCGACGGTATAAGACACGCTACTATAAAAATATTATGTCAACTTTAATCGTAATATAGTCGTAGTGAGCGATTAGAAACGCTAAATTATAAGTCACATCGGTAGTATAATATTATATTATTACATTATATTTCTAGTCGATTCTGCAATTTTCGTCCCTGACATGAAATATTTATGCGGTGTAAATGGAATAGTTACTTGACTTTATTTCTTAGACACCTCGAGCTGTGCGTGTATTAAAATCAACCGACCGCTTGTTACGCTTATTATTATTATTATTATTGTGCTACGCCGTTTTCTCGTTATTTTTTTTTTTTTTTTGTTACTAATTTAGGCAGTTCGGTTATACCGAAGTCTTTAGACGTAGGACGGACGCATCGAAGGCAATCTATGTCATAGTTCCGTAAACGAGTTTGGCTGACAGAAACATATTATGTCAAAACAGACTTTTTGGGATTTCGGTTATTCAATAAATAAAACTGATCAGTGTTTGTTTAGTCGATAGTCAGCAAAGAGAACTCATACGTTTAAAATATATTTTTTAAGTTTGTTAATCGGCTTAATCGGGTAGACAACAATAGACGTACAATATTATATTCGCTTATAATATTATTATATAATACTTGTTTTTTAGAACTTAGTTGTATTGAAACACTTTTGAAAATTAACTAACCATTATATTGGCGTACTTGTGTAGTTGTGTAGCTATAAATAATTACTATACAAATATTAGTTAATACCGATCAATACCATGGAATCGGATGGCCGGTTTTTATTTTTATTTATAACTATAAGATTATGTTTAAAATTTAAATGTTTAACACCGAGTTATGAGTTTATTTGAATTATACATTAAGGCATGCTTTGTTCCATTATACATGTAACGCCTAATAAAAAAAAATATATAACTTTTATCTCGTTTACTTTTAAAACATGTCTAGAAATATTGTATTAAAATATAGAAATATTAGGCAATATTCGGTAGTTACTTTTAAAAACTTGATAATCATGTTACAATAATATTTACGACCTGCAAAGTATGGCTTGAAGCTTTTTCGCTTAGAGTAAGTTGTAGTATTGATCATAAATACGTTGAATTTATAATTTATTCATTACCTACCTACCTACCAGTATTGAATATAGCTGCCGTTGTATCTATTTATTGTCGATAATATATTATTTGAAAACTATTATTTATAAACCTATACCGGCGCGGTGGATAGACAATTTCAGTACATTGGTGTGTATATTTCGGTATGATGGCATCCGATCGGTTATCGGGTTCAAGGGGTTATTATATTATTACTATCGTGAGCTCGGATGAAAAGTATTAAAATGTCATCGCTCATTAGTTCGAAAAAAACTTTGTTCGGTATTCACCGATTTTATTATTTGTGGATATACACACAATTATCGTATGAAATCATCGACTTTTAAATATTCTATTATATTTTCTATTTTGAATACCAAATACTAACATATTATTATAGTCTACGTCGGAATACGTCTTACTTATTGGTTTTTATCCATATTATATTCATACGATTGAGCAATTGAAAACCTCGAGTTGCATGAAATTCCTCGCAGGAACTCCGAACATCGCGTAATAAAGAACACGAGACAAGGTATGATTACAATTACGTACTGACAACACGGTGCTCGAGGTACTTACTTCATCGGTTCATCGTTTTATCTCTTCGTAGTTCTAAGTGATCCTTCTTGAAATACATGTAGCCTTTGTTCCGAAATCATATATTATGAGATACCTATTATGTTACGAATTACAACAACACAACTATGAATTATGATCATGCAGCGTTGTGGACTTAAGCTGGGCTTAAAAGGCTCACCGCTATCGTAGTTCATTCTGCATTACGCGTTGTGGCCTTTATTTATATTTATTACAATTCACCGCGGCGACCAGAGACATACAAATTTGATTGTATTTTGAACGTCCGTTCTGTAGTGTGATATTCAAAGGTTAAAATAAAACAACACTTTTAAATATTAAAAAAAAAAAATTATTGACTCAAATTTATAAAGAAAAAAAATTGTAAGTCCTACACCAGTACTCACTACTCATATGCACATAATTCTATTAAGACTCCATAAATACACGAAAAGAATTATACCCCGGCCAAATCGTCCGAGTTTTGTCTATGCTGAAACAGTATTTCATATTTGTAAGACCCTTTGAATTAATTTTGTCATACTAACCACGGTAAAATATACAGCACACTGTTCAAAAAATTGGGAAACAAGGTGAATAAATATTTTATCTAATAAATGTGCAACAGTAGGTTTCATCGCTATTATTCCTATACGTGGGTATAAAGAATTGTATGCAATCAGTAATTAAAGGTTTTCCAATTTTTTTTTGAACACCTTGTGTACCTAAATAGTCAATAATCACAGGCGCATCTTTTTATTATTCTCCGATGGAAAGCTTGAATATAAATGTATAGTATTAGTATAAAATAACCACAATAATGTCGCGAAATAAATTAAAAGTACCCTCTACGAGTGATGTCCACAAAATACAAATATGTAATAGGTACATTGTTGTTTTGCTTACATACCATTTTTTTTTCGCATCCTTTTTTTCTTTTCGTCTCAACACTAAATATTACATGATGAAAGGTCAATTACCTTTTATTTCAAAAATTCGCATTGTAAATATTTGATTTGGCGACCCATATATGCGCTACAGACATGAGACGTACATTTGTTGCGACTGTCGAATAGAAATATAGAATACATATTCATATTAAGTATCTTACCTTTTTTGCCGAGTCTTACTGTTCGAGAACGAAATACAAACAATCGAAAACACGAGTGGTGGATCGACTGAAAAAGCTCAGTTCTTATAAATTTGTTGGTTAAAGACAACCTATCGACCGTATCAATTTATTTCTATAGGCCATAATAGTGTAATACTATTTACGTATTCATTAGTCAGATAATATCTAGTGGTGTAAGTATTAGGTTATCATAGGATAGATATATTTTATTTAAATCATAATTAAATGATCAACTTAAAGATAAACTCAAAGATCAACTCCCGAACATATACTACTGATGGCAGCCCACAGTCTTGCGATGCTAACAACCTGACTGCTGTCGCCAGTTATATTGGACGTTATGGAATGACGATGGCTTATATTAATTATAGCAGTGTTTCCCAACCGGTGGTCCGTGGGCCAGTCATAGATGGTACCTTTCTTAGTTTTCTATTAAAAATTATTATTTTTTTTTAAATTTTATTTTAATAATGATATATAATAGTACAGTAAAATAATAAAAAATTTTCAATAAATTTTGTGTATTCTTGTTAATGAGCAAAAAAAAAAGGTCTTCCTAGTTTGCGTAAAATTGAGGTGGTCCGCGACCTATAAAATATTGTCGAAGTGGTCCGTGGTGGTAAAAAGGTTGAGAAACACTGAATTATAGCCTTAAAAAAATAACAATTTTGTACGTAATAAACTTAACATCTTTCCAATTGTTATTAACGATATACTTTTATTATAGAAATCATTACGTTTTAGAACATACAATACAATATTATTCGATAATGAAAATTCTATTTCATTATAATAGGTACGCTATTTTTTAATTGTCACACATTTTTTTGGAAACAGTTTTGGGAAGATTATAATATTATTTTTCGTAATAACCGAAGTGTAATCACTTTGGTACAATAATAATAACAATAATAATGTATAGGTACTGATGTCCGATAAAAAAAAATGTAATTGTTTGACAGTCACAATATCATTTTACAGTGTAAAATATTATGATTAAATATAATAATATTATGATAGTCATAACGTATTCATAGCATTTTATTAGGAGTACCTATGTAATCAAATTGGAGGTATTATAAATACAAAATAAAGGAAAAAAAAAGTAACCAGAAAATACAAACGAAAAACAATTTAACACAAAATACATTCACCTATTAACCTACAACATAAATAATGACAAAAAAATAAAAATAATTGTTACAACAATAATAATAAATGTTAGTTTTAAAATCAAAATGTGTGATGTGCGTTTTTAAGACATAATTATTATCATTATTACTATCATAGAAAATATTGAGATTAAGTTACACGTTTATAAAAGTATTACTGATTCAGTATATAACACTTTCCGTGTTTAAAATCCCCAGAAGTTAGCAAAAAAAAGCGCATGTAAAATTTAGCTAATTGTTTAGCATCTAAATTAAGCTGTTAATTAGCAAAATAATAATAATGATAATGATAATGATATCTTTTATTGTATTGAAAATACTTATGAAAAAAAGTAATTATCAAAATAAAATAAAATCATTCTACAAATAAAACTATTCACGTTATCTGTTAAATAAGGTTCAAATAAATTTAAATAAATGAAGAACATATTATAACGTGTATGTGTATACTTATTTCTGTTTAGAATAAACAATGTACATCAAGATTATAATAGGTACATACTTTTCCATGTAATAAACTTAGAAATTAAATTAATAATAGTTCAGTTATTAAAATTATTTTTCAATTAATATTATAAATTAATAGACACGTCCGAATGAATAATAATTTACATAATTTTCCCGTTAAATGGAGCAGATCATTATTATATACATAGGTATATATATATTTAGACTTGATTATTATATGAATATATATTTTTATGAATGGATGAATTTTAAGCAACGGTTAATTTTTGTTGTTAAGTAGGTACGACCAAAGAGATTCGTCGATAGTAGTTATTAAAATACTAATAAGAAACGTATTGCGTCTGACTAGAGTGAAATCATATTATATTGTTTTGATTAAGATACAAGTTGTAGCATAGTTTTGTTCAATTTTTAAAGTTATTGTACCATAAAGGAATTTTAAAAATACGGAAGTTATTGTTTCAATACTATCTCATATTTGGCACTTAAACAGAGAAATAAACATCAATCAAAGAGGATTATTTTAACCAAGGAAACACTTAAAAAAATGATTATCTAAATAAATAACTCAAAATTAACAATCAAACTAAAGCATAACGCAATTCGCAAAAATTGTAGTATCATAATGAAGAATATCAGTACAATGGCAGTGATTTTTCGTTATACTTATTAAAAAAAAATATAATAATAATAATAATAATAATAATAGTAATAATAAAAACAAGAAGAAGAAGAAGAAGAAGAAGACGAAGAAGGAAAAAAATATACAAACTACATTTGAACAGTATAAAGTACTTGATATCATATAATAATAGTTATCTGCACATATTATCGTATGCCTACCGCGAACCACATATCGTCGAACGCAGTCGATCGAATTTAAAGTGACTTGAAATCATATTTTATTTTCGTTTCTTACATTAATTTATATTATTGTGGAAGCATATTTTATGTTTCATAAATATTTCTTTCCCAAATAAATCGGATTTAACATGTATTATAGAGCGGAGCACCGAACGCGACATATTTCACGAGAATGGATTGAAGACCGAACACTTAAAATATGTGACAGACCCTGCAGAATGTTATCGTAGGGTGGACTGAGCGACACAGGATCAGTTGGCGGCATTTGAAGCGCCCCGTTAAGCTTAGACTAATAATAATAGTTGTAAAAAAGGCAAAGATGGTCAACACAAATGCATGATATGTACCACATATACACAGTTAGAATTAAGTGGAAACGGTTCAAAATAAACTGTAAAGTGATCATACATAATATAATAATATATCCCTTTACGATTCATCTCGATAGGTGAATAATATGTTTTGTATTTACATTTAATATTAATTTTTAGAAGTGTTAAGCTTACAGTTACCGAAAATCAAAAACGAACCATAAGCGTCGAGTTTTGGTCAAAGAAAATAAATAAATCAAAAGATTCCATTAATGGATTTTTTTTTTTTTTTGTTTGTTTGTTTGTTTGTTTAAAAGTACTGGGCCGGGAAGACCATAAATTATTTATGTTCCGTTTGTCAATAATTAGCGTATTATAAGTAGGTAATAATACAAAGTATCGAGAATTTCGTGCAAATATCATCGCAATAGCCGACTTGAATATTTATATCGTCCAAATATCTTGTATTCATTTTGTCAGTCTACGATGCGAAAATTCGATGATCATTTTTCTCAATGTGGCCCTGAAAGAAAACAATTTTACGTTATAATAATGACATGGATATTACTTAACTCGATGTGATGGATTTTAATGAGATATACTGTACATTATTCGGGGTTATAATGATTAAATTATTTTGTGAAAGGCGTGCAGCGGTGGCTGATTTCTTTACATACACTTTCATCATTAAATCATACAAATGATGATTGAAAATAAAATTTATGATAACCTTTTAAAACCTATACCAGTCGTTAAAAAAATAGAAAAATGGGTCATTTGGTGGATCCATCACCCCCATCATCAGCCCCCCCCCTTACTGGTTTAACCACCACCGTATCGTGTACACAATTTAAAATAAATCGAGTAGAGCACACTGGACAGTGCAAAAATACACATCAAATGAAGGATTAACGTACGATACGTAATAACTAATAACTTACGATTTTACGAAACGTGAATGTTACCGAGTATCGATCTTTGCAGGTGGAAAACAATCAACGATCGTGGATTTTTGAGAGTAGAATAGAGAAAAAAGCCATTAAGAGGACTGTACGAATGACATGATACTGACTGAGAATTTCTCGAAAGTACAGCAAGCACGTATTCGTTTATATTATACTAACGCAGCCTCGTAAACCGAAGAAAAATGATGATATGGAACGATGATTTGTAACATGATTTTTGAGTAAGACACTATATAATATATAGTAGGTAGTTTCAACGGAGAATCCACGGTAGGTACATTTGTTTTTTGAGCAAAGAAAAGAAGAATGTCTTAAATCGTTCGAAATGGTTTGACTGTTCCGATAACCGTCATTTCTGCACAATCATCTCCAATGTATTATATTTACCCGAGAAGGACGTGGCAAGTATTTCGACGGGCAAGGAACCGCGGCGGTGAGCCAGGAACGAATCCATCGACTGGCCGGTTGACAGCAACACGTCTGGTCCGCCGGAGCTCCGTCGCTTCATTGACTTCCTGCGCCTCCTCCGGCTACCCGGGCGGCTACCGTCCGAACCCCTTCTCTCTGAAATCACACAGCCCAGTCGCAAGTTTTATACAAATTGTCGCAGACCAAACACTGCAGGCGCAGTGAAACCACATGATAATATCTTAATAATTATTGTATAGTTGCGTATTTGAGACTAGGGGTTTTTTGCAGGGGAGGGGGGTGGGGGGGTGGGAAGAGGATAGTTCCAGTATTTTTTTTAAAAATTTTATTCTACAACCACTTCATAATCTCGATTCGTTCGTATCAAATTTGATAAAGCTGACTTTTTGTTAAAGTTATATTCCAATAATTATTACAAAAAAAAAAAAAAACCAATGAGTTATTCTAAAAATTTAAGTTATATTTATTATTTCGAATAATCTATTTGATACGTCTATTTCTAGTATCATTCACAGCCAAGTTATACTATCGATTGGCAAATATTTAACAGCTCTAAACTTTTATGATCGAAATATACAATTCACGGAAATTATAAGGCAATTCGCATGATATATATATTATATTATACATATTAAATATTTTGCAGCGCGGCTCTTCCATTCTCAAATACGCCACATATATAATACAACTATAGGTATAATACAAATTATCAGCCCAGTCATTATATACTGTACAACCACTGTATTTTGCTTTTAAAATATCCTTTTTTTTACCGTTAAAATTGATGTTAAAACTTTCGGCCTTAAAAAAACAAAACAAAAAAAAGAATTGTAATTTTTACCACGGAATCGTTACTCGACCATCATAAAGTTTGTTTTCGATACAGTCCATAATACGAATTACGAATTACAAGTCATATAGACGTTCTATAATAATTCTATGTAATAATCATCTAATAACGTAAATTACAATCAAACAGTACCACCCATGCTATTTACTAAAACAGTATTGTTATTATTTTTGTTTCATCCGAGCGATCAAATTGATGATTATTAAAAGCGAACAAATGAGAAACGAGTCAGAAATATTCATAACAAATTTAGATTATTAACAACTATAGTAATGAATATTTTTCCTTTGTAAATTTGAAAACATTAGTTAATTATTTAGAGAAAAATATTAATTTACACTAAAAATGTTCTAGTTAATACGAATTGAGTTTTAATAATATTGTAATAATATTTAGTGATCACTTCGAACGATAGAAGATCGTTTGGTTCAACGATATAATTAAATTCATTGATCTAATACAAAAATGTTAAAATTGCTAAATAAGCAAAAATAAATACAGTAACAAAGAACAGTCTAAAAATAACTTATATAAATTGTTAATATGTTATTAAAAAGCAAAGCGTATTGACTGACAAAAACCCATATTTAATTCTTATTATGTTGTTATAGGCAATTTCGAGTGTATTGTTATATGCTAATAATATGATAGTAGTGTGTGGATGCTTTTTTTTCTTTTCTTTCTAATAATCGATGATCGTCTCACCTGGCCGGGAAGGAGAAACAAGAGGCGAGCTCGATAATCCAATATTGGAATCATACGGTAGCGACGAACGTCTCGCGTATTGCTTCGGGCTATTTGTGCTCAGTGGCCCTGTGGCCACCACCTTAAAAAGGGCACCTGCGATAGAAAGCCATGCATTAACCACAAGTGCACAAGTACGTTGACATAAAAGCGCTGTGACTGCGGTCATTCACAAATAAAACAATTATGGTAAAAATGTTAAAAAAGAAAATTAAAAAAATAATTAATGTAAAATGTTATAAAAAAATTAATAAAAGTAATTAAAAAAAAAAAAAAAAAATACAATTTCTTAAAATACGTATAAAATTTGTTTACTCTGTTTGGAAAAATCTGACGGCACCGACCCACGCCTTGGAATAGTCGCTTCTTGGCCCTTGCCGGCAGTCGGGTGTCCCGTACCGTCAACGTTTCCAGCGCCAACCGGTGCTGAACCTCGCCGTCTCGTCAATATCTGTTTGGTAAAAACGAAAAATAGTTTATTATTTCTATGCATTCAGACTGATATAGGGTTTCAGATGTACACTGTAGACCACCACTGGCAGTGTATCTACTGCCAAATTAGTGGACCGAGAGCACAATCAAAACTGATGGACAATATGTCAATATTTGATGATCGTTTATTACGGTATTATTTCGAACTAGTATTAAACAAATGCGATATTCGTGATAAATACGGTGGGTTATTCGCGGGGTGAACGACAATAAATAACAATAGTAACTGTATAGTGTATATGTGTGGGTACTTTAGGGATTTACAAGCAATCAAGTGATTTATAAACAATATACATACAATTTAATAATATGAAGTAATAATATGAAGTATGGCAAGATAATATCTAAATATTCGTAGAAGATAATATTGTGTACAAAAAATAAATCATGAGTTATTGTAAAAGGGAAAATCGACGAGTGTAGCACTGGAAAGAGCCTATAAGTTCCTATTGTAAGACTTAAAAATTTCCAATGTCAAAAAAGGAGTAGGTAACCATCACTTGCAAATTAAGTCCTATGCTATGATCTATAATATACAGCAAAATCTGTAATTGATAATACATTCAAGGTTAAAATAGATTGAATATATATATTCTTACGAAAAAACAATGTAATAAAAAGCTATATATTCTTACGAAAAAACAATGTAATAAAAAGCTTACTGACAAGAATAATAGTATTTATTGTTTTTCTAAATAGTTGGTTTTTTTATTTTCCTTTTCGATACTTATCATTGTGTGTACAATGTACATCTAAATCAAATTCATAAACAATTTTTCTAACCTGTTGGTATGAAATCACGTTTTCAGTTTCGACCATGGATGAGTAGAAATTGACCAAAATACAGAATTAAACATTAAATGTCAAAATTAATGATTACTAGTCTTCCTTTTAAACACGGAAAATGCAAAAATATACATAGAGGCTGATGACAATGCACTTTGGTTCATAATATAACTAACTACATCATAATATATTACACAAGGTGATTTTTTTGAATGTGAACACTCATATTTAAAAAAAATGATTTTTACATAATTTGAAGTCGTAATAAAACACACAGCAAAAATATTTATTTAATAGTTTCAATACGAAAAAATCAAATTCGCATGAGTAGTTTATTAGTTATATATAGATATATAATTATATAAGTAAAGGTGAGTGGAATATTAGGACAACGTGCTTCGGGGCACCCATTTGAAGTTTGTATAAAAGAAGGAGAGTGGCACAATTAGTGATGAGTCTTGAGAATATTTCAATATTCTCAAAAGAAAGAATTGGGAATTTATCGGAAATATTTCTACAACATATTTTTCTCCTCAAAATTGGAATTTTTTTCGTTCTATTACTGTACACTGGGCACACAAAGGTTCACTAGATTAATTAATATGAATGATATGAAGGAACAACAGAACATTGAAAATGTTTGTTTACATTCTAAAAAACTAAGCAAAAAGTTTTAGCAGATATATTTCCTTCAATACCTAGCAAATTTTGTGAAGAAGATATTACAGTAATAGAGAAGGTATCGACTATATCGACATTTTTTTTTCAGTTTTCATTGAGAAAAGTAGATACCGCACCATAATACTTATCATCAAATAAAGTTAATAATATTTTGTTTGTGTTTGGCTTAACATCTGGAATTTTCAAATTCATGGTAAAAATTCTCATTATTTGTGAAGTAATTATTCATTTTCGGAAATGTTCCCTCAAGAAATTGAAATTTGAAATTTTTTCCACCAAGAAATTGCCCATCACTAGGCACAGAAGTACCTCAACATTTTGGACCACAACTTCATTCATATATAGTTAGAATATCTACTTATAGTGCCTATTACGAATTAATAGGTTACTGATCGTTCGCAGTTCTCAGGAAAATATTCTGCTAAGGAATATGAAATCAAAAATGTCAGTTGTAATACAAATACTGTAATTCAATAAAAGTGGTGAGATACGATAATGATAAAAAAACCAACCAACCTGGTTCATGTGATTGCTGTTCCGTCTGATTTCTGCGTTGGTCCTTGCTGCCGGATCGACGTTTTCCTTCTCCTTGTTGGACGAAAACCGGGCCAACTTGAACGCCCGGTCTGTGTCCAGGATCGAGTCTCGCTTCGTGCCGTTTCCGCTAGCGCCGTGGCCACCACCACCGCCGCCGCCCGCCGACGGACAACCCTCGCTGCTGGTCGAACCGGTCCGGCTGGACGCGGTGGACACAGCGGACGTGCCACCGCTGGACGACGAACACGGCGCCGCGGTGTCTCCGCCGGTGGACAGGTACCGGGCCCGGACGTACGGCTGGATGGGCGGGAAAGTCTGCTGCCTGGTCAGGCCCCTGGAGCATCCGGCCGTCGCCTGGTGGCCGAGCACCGGTGACGTGACGCCGTGGATGACGTTGCACAGTCGGCTGGCGTCGGCCGTGTTCGTGATGGTCGCTATGCTGGGTTCGGGTATGAGGTTTTCGGCGCTCACCGGCCTGTCGTCCATGTGACTACTGCCGCCGCCGCAACCGCCGCCGTCCGACGACCGCTGCAACCCACTGCTTCTCGACGAGCCCACCGATATGCTCAGGCCCTCCTCCTCTTCTTCCAGGTACGGGATCTGGCCCAGCGTGAAACGCCGCCGGTTTTCCACTTGCACCAGTAACGTCGAGGGCAGCGCGCCCTGCAAGCTTTCCCGGCGCAGTATCGTGCAAGGCAGCACGTGGCCAGCGGTCACGCGGGCCAGGTTCAGCGGCACCGAGTGCCGGCGGCCCATCTTGTCCACGGTCTCCAGCATGACGGCCGGAAGTGAGCCCCGCCGGTTCTGCTGCTGCGGCGTGTCCGGTTCGTTTTCCGGTTCCAGCATCATGTCGTCGGCGTCCGCTATCAGCTGCTGCTCGTCGCAGCTCTCGCGTTCCCGGAGCTCTTCCCACTGCTGTTGGTTCTTCCTCAGATTTTCCATCATCGAGTGCGACAGCTTGGTGTCCAAAAACTTGTGCCACAAATTGAAAAGCGGCAACACCATGAACTTGAAGAACACTAATGAAACGAACAAAAATAATACAATTAATTGTGATACGTTATGATTTTGGCAGATTAGAATATTTCTATTATCTATTGCAATAGAAACTATATCAATTATTATAGGCAATATTTTCCGAAAATCTATAGTCAAATTGATTTACGGGCTAAACCAATTATAATATGCAAATGTAAAATTAAATAATAATATCAAAACTAATACAATTACAGTACGGTGTGCTTATATTTAAGTATAAAATGTCAAATTATGTATTGTAACATAAAATATTATATTTTACTCGATAAATATTGTTACCATTACCTATGTCGATTAATATTAAGTCCTAATAATACAACTATAATAAGTACCTAATCTAGATATATTAATCCACGTATTGTTTCTTCAATTGTTTTAAATATAATGTCATCATAATATAGTGAGTACAATCATTTAATACTTGTTAATATACAGTTTTTTTTAAAATCTGTATAAATTTATACACGTGCGTATTAAGGGTTAATAATTGGACGATAAATAATACACGAATATACACAAAAATGCACAAAAATGCAGTAGAGACACTAGATGTTTATCCTATATGTTATATAGGTTATTTAGATGAAATCAAAAATATATAGGTATCGTGTGTTTGAAAAAAAGTTTTAAAAAATACGTTCCATGCTCATTTATACAAACAAACATACGGTTAACACTATAGACATATAGCTGTTTTTAGACTAAACGCATTTATTTTTCGGTCGGTGGCCATTTTATTTAGCTCGCTTCAATTAAGTCTTCGGTGTGTCGGTTTATCTTGAATTTGAATAAAAATAAGATTATAGTTAATTTATCTTAAGTTTATTGACTGTAATATAATACAAAGTACATATTGTAGTATAGTATTTTGTATATTGTTATATTATTATGGATGCGATCTAACAGGTACGTATATAATGATTTGAACATGCCACCGAATGTCAAAGGCACATACCTGTTTGAATTTTCGGCACTGTATTGTTGTATCGATCGCAGATATCGGTGACCGGCAATCCCAACTGCCTTTCGTAATCGCCCTGCCTGAAAAATTCGTCGCACACCTTCAAGCTCCATTTGCGACTCACGTCCCATGGCCTGCATGGGTTCGATATGTCAGCGCACTTTAGTGCTATCTGCAGTATGAAGTGCCGCAACTCTGGGTCCTTCATGTCCAACTCGTCGTTTTCTAGATAGTTCTGTTTAATTTGATATTAAAAAAAAAAAATGGTTAAAATCGGATGGTATCACGGTACACATTAATCGTATGTATTTAAAAAGTGAATTGTGTGACGAAAATATAATGTACATAAAATCTTACTGCCTTTCATATATTAATTACAGCTGATGTGAGAATTGATCTAAAATCAAATCACTAGACTTATATTATCATATATATATACATCGTTTTAATCATAATATATAAGAAAAGGTCTTTTGAGCAATTAATATGATAGCTGAATACAATATATACGAATATGTATTAGTTTTAATAAAGTGACAATATATTTGAATGCTAGTACCTAGTATTTAGTTAATTAATTAAAATAAACTGTTTGTCCCGGTGTTAGAGAAATAAATTTAAAGTCTAAATCAATTAAAAATAAACAGGTAAATAAAAGATACAAGTGGTGAAAATTGCATTGAGACTTCGATGGGTACAATATATACTTATAGGCACAACTAAAACTGATCAGCATCGCACTAAAGCTGCAGTGAGACACTTTAAAATCAAAAACATAGATCTATATTGTATATTATATACTTCATACTTATATGTAGGCATCTGGAAAAGCACATTAAATATTCATACTCGGAGAATGTTAAATATTTTTATGGCGAAAAAGATCGTAGGAAAAAATAATAAAAGTTTTTTTCATCCCGTTCTCGAAATGGAATTCATGAATTAAACATGAAAGGTAGAGCGCATAAATGAAAAAAGTTTTTGGTGCATTTCAAATGTGTTTTATATACAAAAAATAGACACTATATAATAATACAACCACACAGACAAGTTCGAGTTAAGGGCTGAGGGTGGACAGGGTGGTATTTTACGGATCCAACTGTTTCTACAAAATATTTTCATAATGCACAAATCAAAATAAATTTCAAAAAATAATATAGGCTATGTTCATATGATATCAGATCACGCAGATTACTACTTTAATGATAAATTCATTATAGATTGATATTAATTGGTAACAATAAATGATGGAGATTGTAAATTAGTGAAAATGGGGGTTGCCAACAAATAACAATGTAGTTCAATATAATAGCTAGTAGGAAAGTGGGGTATTATCGCCGTAAATTAAAAAAATTAGGTATTCATTATCATAATATTTAACTATTAATTGATATTAGGCATTTTAGCCTATTTTCGTAAAGTAATAATGTTTTATATTAGTGTCTTACGTTTAAAATATACCTAATGTTACTGCGACGACCGTGGCGATTATATACTTTATTATTTATAATTGTGTACATAACTATGAATATACTTTAATATTACACCATTACCTACTCTGGTATTATTTATTATTTTTAAATTTTAAATTTAAAAAAATTATAAAACTAAATAGGACTGCAAGAAGTAATTAAAATGGTTTTAAAATTGGGTTGAAGTATATGAGAGTTTAAAGCGGCCCGCATTTGCCTGGTGATCTAGGGCCAAATTTGATGTTCAACCCAGAATATGTGATATTATTTCGATCCCCCTCCCTCGCCCAACACGCACACACACAACGCTTTACGTGGAAACTCACGTTGAATTTCTTTAAGAATTCCGGTTGCCTCGTAATATCCGTGGCCAAGATCAGTGAACTTATCTGCGACTCGAGATCGTGTCTTATGGGACTCAGTTTCTCAGCCACGTGACTTTCGAGCAGACAACCAATCGCCGACCTCCAGTGGTGGTTCTCCAGGACAGAAGTGTTCTGTATTGACGCACATAAATACAACAGGAAACCATATGGATTAGTGAAATACACATAACGATAAACGTGAAATATCGGTTTTCAGTTGCACGACAATATCAACAATATACCGAAAATTCCTAAATAGTAAATAGTATATTATTATAGCGTAATGGGTCACCTCGTAAAGAGTGGCCAAATGATTACTGGTCGCGATGAGAAACGGTTGATTGACACCGGGATGGTCGAGATCGTGAGCAACAGCCGCTATGAGAGACGCCATGATTTCGAGTGGTGTCAAGAAGTTCTTGATCTGTAGAAAAAAAATACAAATTAATGAAATACAATATTGTATACGCGCTTAAAATATTTTAATTCTGATATAATAACTTTAATAATAATTATTGTACTATAGCTATATATAATATGCGAACGGTGTGCAGGTAAAACAATAAAACCCAAATGTAATACTCTTCTAGAAATTCTCATTTCTGTATTATTATTATCGGCTGGTATTCCTACATTGTATTATTCGTTTTAAAAATTTCAATATTTCATAGAATTCATACTTTATTATTTTGGTAATGTAAAGATATGCAAAATAAATTTGTTTTTTGCCAGACAACGCAATAATCAAAAAACGGCAAATTTCACTTATTACATTAAGCCACATCAAATTAACGACTGTGGTTTCCAAAACCTATCACATCGTAAGAAAAAACAATTAACTTACACTTTCAGACAAAAAAAAAACAATATTTCAATCATAATATCGCGGTTACGGCATATAATTTCACTATACGTTATTTGTGGGTATCAGTTTTCATTTATCTGGAAAAATATCAATTATTATGATTTGGTGTGCTTTGTTGTAGATACCAAGAAAAAATGTACTAGTCTGAAACAAGTATTTATTTAAATATTTATTATAACTTACAATTTTGCATTATGTGAAAGTGATTAAGAAAACGTTTTTTTTTTCATAAACTATAATATCGTAGGTATATATGCAGTATTATATAAACTACGACTGTCGATGTAACGGAACGTTAAGCCTGTTGAGTCAAAAAGTATACAAAAGATTAACAAACTTCTTAGTTTTAAAAGCACTAAATAAACGGAGAACAATACATCGTAAGAAATGTTTTGATTGACTTTAATACTTTTCCGTTAAGTTATTGCATTACGATTGTTTTTGTTGGGTATTATATCAATCGTGAATGACACACCATAAAGTCTGTATTTTCATTTTTCATACCATTAAAACAATGAACAAAGATATTAAATTTAATTTCTAGCTAAGTTTCGTTTTAATATGTATACTGATTACTGAATATAGCTATAAGAAATTATTTTAATATTTATTGAATAACAATATGAATAAAGGCGATACCTACAATTTTTTCACCTACAATACTATAATAGTAGTTATTTCAGTGATTAATTGTTGTTATTATGAACACGAAACAATCATTTTAATTAGTAGTCCTTATTTCTCAGAAATAGGTAAATAATTAAATAATTTTGTGCAGTACAATAATAATATACATTTACTTATAACTTATTCACTTAATTTTGTAATTTCTGTTTTCGTCACACCAAAACACAAGGCAATTCAATTGTACACGTTTGTTTACTCTCGAACAGTTATATATTTGGATAAAGTTTTTAAAAAAAGTGTTTGCAAACAAGTTTGGAGGCTAAAAAAAAAATTACAAATAAAATAAAAGTAATAAAAACAATTTAATCACGCGTCAACACAACGTTAAATGGCGGAAATATTAAATATTTTTGTGATAAACAGTGTTACATGTCGTGCACTCGTATTTAGGTGTCTACAAACGAATCGTAAAATAATCTAAAATTAAACGCGTAAAGGTTAGAAGTGAAATTAAAATATTATAATAATAATAAGAACGGACGATTACACGCCGCGCCGCCGAGGTCCGTCAGAAATAATTTTTCGACATTGGCACGCGGCGGGACTTTTAAGCCGTCTGCTCCGAATTCGGTCGAGCACGTATTGTGTGGCTTTTGCGAGCAGCACTAAACCTATCAATATAGCTTAGCAATAATAACAATAGTAAAAAAAAAAACAACCCAAACAATAATAACGGACTATTTCGATTCTACGCGTAGGTCAAAATACGTACGAGCTTTTTTTTCATATATATCGTTATGCCGACGATACGAAATAACTATAATACCTATGCAAACAAGATACAAATATAAGACGACCACGAGGCGAGCTTTTCACGAGAATTGAGGTTTGAGAACCTATCGTTGTCACCACTTTTAGAGGAGTCAAATTAATACGATATAATAGGTATCATTTTTCGACAATTAGATTTTGGTGTAGGTATACATATATTATACTCGTAGGTACATATGTCACAATACGTTATATTATACTATGAGTGCCTCGTAACGAGGTCAAATAAAATAAGAATAATATCGTAGGTACTATATTATTATGATCTGAGGCAATGACAACAAAATAAAAAAATTAATTCCCTATGGATAATCGAATGCTCGGGCGTCTTTGAGTTTATGCAAACGGAATGGACTCAACGGGTTTCAATGCTGTTGTGATTTCAAATGACATATTGTAATGATTTAATTATGGATACGGGATAGGACACCGCGGTGTTTTTTTTTCGAATTCCCGTGGGCCAATGCGGTATAACCGGAAAACTTGGTTTCTTGCCAAACGATTATATTAATAATAATACGTACATAGTAGTATAGTGCGATGATAGAATATGTTGTTTTCACACACAATGTTTCGATGAAAAAAGTGTGGACACAAATATTAAACTTATATCAATTATAAACTTATTATTGATTCAAAGTTGCATTAAATAATTAATTTAAGTTTACGTATAACCACACTTTATAGGTCACTTAACTCTTAACTCAATACATAATCAATTTTAAATCATTTAAAATTCAACATTTTCATTAATTTCGTACACATTTTATCAAAATAATATTAGGTACCGTTTTGGACATTTTTCGGACCTCCACTGAGCGTCACGTCAGATGTAGTGTCAAACGGTTCGGGATTTATCAAGTGTCACGTGCACACGCGGTCGTTATGTAGTCTGTACACACACTCAAACCCTTCAAAGTAAACACACGAATAAAAAGCCACATTAAGGACGAATCTCACTAAAAAGTTTCAACGATAGATAAAACGAATTACACACGCACGACGATTCTACAACGATAATTGAAAAATACTGTATTTGAAAATCATCCTGGTGTTATTATATTTACGATTGAGGAACAACATCATTGGCGTACTGTGTAATATATATATATACATAGAATTGCCATTAAACGGAGTTCATACTTAAAGGGAAAACTTTCAAACTTACTCAGCTGTTTATCTTTTTTATAGTTATCGATAAATTATCAAGAGGTCGGGGGTTTTTTTTTTAAAGAAAAATTTAAAATTTAAAATTTTTAAAAAAACCGGTGTTCTCATACTTCTTACCGATATAGTTGAACCGATGGTTGTTATTATTACCATTATATTAGGTAGGTACATATCTATATAATTATACAAACAACAAACAGGTAATGTGCAATAGTAGGTACCTATACACCTGGAATGGAAATTAATTTTCTTCCAAAATGTAAACACTGTTTATGACGACTATGAACTAATGATTAAACGCACACGCACTCGGGGGAATACATTCAAAATACTTGCATTGCGGCTAAAACTAAAAAGGCAGCTACGAATAATCGGTAGAACCTCAGCCTATGCCATTAGCCTACAGGACGAAATATAATAATACGATACACTCTAAAGTGTACAGATTATAAATTCCAAGAACCCATACATAATATTATAATACATTTTATACTATTTAATATACATATAAGCCAAATACGTGTTTCTAACCTTGTCTTCTTGCAGGAAACAATGCATTGCCTGGGTGACGTCGGTAGCGTGGATGGCATTGTGGTACGGGTTCGTGCTGTGGTACCCTTCTTCTATGAGACCTGTGAACAAAATATATTATTCAGGTTTTGAGATCTTAGACGAGAAACGGGTTTTATTTTTGACACGATATTTATAATATCTATCACTTATTTTAAGTATACACAATCATAATTATTAAGAATACCTAAGGTTAAGTCTCAAGTCATCAGTACATTTTTATAGTCTAGTAAGAGACTAGAGACCAATAATCTATACGGTTGAATCTCACTTGATTCCTTTTATATTTCAGGGGCGGCTAGGTAAGGCCTGATAATGGTTACAACTACTATAATACATTATGTACGTAATCTGTATGCATTTAATATGATTAATTCAGCTGAAGGTACAAGATTTAGATTCCCCAGTATAAATGACATTAAGAAAAAACCGGTGCGTATAAATGTATACAGAAGTCTTCGCCTACTCATTTTAGAGACCATCCAATGAATTTTAATACTAAAACTTTGTTAATTGTTTCCTCAAGTAACGCATTCATGTGTACTTTATGTATACGTAACAAGAAAAGTTTAAATATAATAGGATCGTTCATAAGTTTCGTTTCATATAAATTACCTGTTAGCATCACAAACAAAAAAATAACAAATTAATCATTGCGATTTATTTATTATTATTTTTTTGTGTCCATTAAAACATAAATAGATACTAAATCTATTAAAATAATAACTTGAAAAATAAAGGTAACTCTCATTTAAAAATGTCAATCTAGAACACGATAATAAATTAACAATGTGTATATACAATGTACAGCAGAGGTTCTCAAACTGTGGTACGCGAAAGGCCACAAAGTGAAAGAGAGTAAATAAATGAATATTTTTAATTGTGTTTGAACATAGTCACACGGAAATAGACAAAAGTCGCGGTACGCGACAGATTAATAATACACACGAGTGGTATGCTAAAAAAAGTTTGAGAACCACTATATATTATACAGGATATATATGTATCACATAGGTACACAGGACGTACCTATACAATATTACACTCACAGCGTGGTTTGATTATGAATTCAAACCGTAACCATCACCTACCAAAGCGGGTATACCGCCACAACCTCAACAAGCTGGTTTTATTGACTTTAAATTTCAAACATATTTTTATACACAGTATTTAAAGCGATGTTCGAAACTTGCGCCCGAAACTGGCTTGGGATTAAATATGATAAGCTCCGCGGAAACCTAAAATAACCAGGACCGGATTACATTAGCATAATAATAAGGCATCGCCGAATCGGCAGCGTAGTAGATAATAATATACACGAGGAACGACAAACGTTAACACTAAATAAACTATATAAGCGTGTGGCGTGTCATTAGGAGCGGAGTACGCGCGCCGAATAGGAGACGAACTTTTTTACGGTTATAATGCGCCGAGTAAGAACTTTTGAAAACCCGAACACTCACGATGGTCGATGATTATATCAATTAAGACGAACTACTTACAAATGAAAATAAATAAATAACGATCGGTTTCGACTTTCGAGGCGGCAACTTTAATGGCAATTTTAAGGTAATATCTCCCGAGACAATGGTGTATAGGTTAGGTTATGTAATATGCAGTGAAATGTTGTTGAGTGTCGAAAATAGACGCTTCAATAATAAACTGAGGTTGATTTAAATAACTTAAAATGGCCAACAATAATTTACAAGACAATATCGTTCGTAAGTATTGCACGCCTTATACAAAATTACGATACATTTTGAATGAATAGTTTGTAAATTATTGTTACTTAAAAAAACATATTAGTTCGAATGTTTTGACAGAACGACAATGAAAATAATTTTCATAATATTATGTATTAACAAATAAATGTTGTATTCTCAAAATAACATAAATTAAAAACTGCAGAATAGATATAGGTAGCTAGTTGTCTCTGATTTAAAAATAATGAGTTGGTAAGATATATAAATTATAATTTAATAATGACAGTTTCATTTTTATTTTTCTTAGTACCTACCTATACTTGTTATTACATTACTAATATCTAAATGTCTTCAAAGTTCAAATAGAATATTTGTACAAAAAAATGTAAATGTACATGCTACGTAGAAGTCATAAATACCGATTGAAAACAAAAATGCAGAGCAAAAATATCAGAAACAATGTGTAAGATTTGTAAAAATCGTAATATAACGTTACAGATCAAAGGCATAATCTGGTAAATGCCGAAGAAGTAGTTACAGAGAAGTATATAATCAAATTGTATTTAAACATATTATTTCATATTATGTAAAATAAAAATATAATATTTTAAATTGAATTGTAAGTATCAGTTGCTGACTAAATACAATTTATTTCAAAATAACTATATAAAAGAGTTCTGCATCTGCACACACTGCAACGAGTCCGGGCACAAATAGGTATTTACATTATAGTATACACTATTCATAATGGAATCCTTATTACAGCAATATGGTATGGATCATATTAAATCCCCGCAGTAAAATCGTATGTAAATTTGACGTTAAAATTATAAATGGGGTCTCTTTGAAATTCACCGAATCGAACAAATACACTATAGTTTAGTAGGTATAATCTGCCTGAAATATATTCGAATTCGAAGTGGAACATGAGTAATAATTCTATCTATAGTTAGATCAATTATAAAAGAACAAACGATACGCACAATATTATATTATACGTTACGTAGAATATAGTTTGCTACCAATACATCTGATAGACAAATAATAATGAATAATGATGATGATGAAAATTGAAAATGTGATTACAAAAACGCATAAATATGACGTCACCCCGGGGTCTTATTTTTTTCTTCCACTTTTGGATTTTTTTTTTTCAATCTGAAAAAAGTCCTTTTCAATAACGTCAAAAGGAAGGTAACCGAGTATTTCTCCGAATTGACTTTCGACTGCTGTAAGTTATGTGCAAATATAATACACAAGATCTCGTGTATAGCGGATGCGGCGTATACGATTACCTAAATATTATACCCAAGTAAAATACAGAGAGCTTGAGGTCACTTAACAACGACAGTTTTATTTTCGCCTGTTATTAAACGTATCGGACTCAGGAAATTGTATTATAGCATACCTACAGCCTAATTTAACTGATATATAAATGAATCTGATAAACTATTATAATATGTTGATGCTATTTTTATTGAGAATATTATTATATTGTCACCAACATTTATTGCAGTTCTTCGAAACCATATAATAAACATGACTTTTTTTTTATTGTATTTGTCAATTTTTAAGACCACCGACATCACATTATAATAAACACTAGGTATTCAACATATTTTAATAGAAATATTGCGATAAATCCCAATGACGGAGGTCGCGGTGGAACAAAATGCTGACAACGTAATTTTGTGGTTATTAATATTCAACAGAAGCACGTACTTTTCGTGTACGAATCATAAAAGGGTTCTGTAGGTATGCCATAATATCAATATGAATAGACACCGATAGTTCACCAATTCAACACAAATGGTAATCAGTAGTTGATTGAAATAAAGTGACTTTTTACTGACCGAAAACAAATAAAATTGCTTTTAGTTTTTTCCTGCACATAAATAATCTACATTGTCGTTACTATATCAAAATAAATACTATGATACAAAATGAATACAAATTAGAAAGAGATGGCAAGCCGCAGTACACCAATTTTTCAAATAAAAATAGTGATAGAATGCGCACATTAAATTTATGTTCACTAACCAGTAGCTATTATTATATTAATGTATATTATATATATATTCTAAAATATGGTCAGGCGGAGGTAAGAGACAACTCGTATACTATCGCGATTGTTGCATAATCCACGGATACTACATAAAGCACTTTTTGTGAGTGAAGGTTAATTTAGTAGCATATGTACTGCCGAAGCAAGTACAAAATGTTGTTAGAAATATTTTAATGTAATTGGTAACACAAATAAGCATTAACTACACTGCATGTTTATTTTTTATATCAACATGTCTCGTTTTAAATAAAAACATAAAGGTGTCATAGGTTGGATGACATTATGTACGATATTATGTGGTCGAGTGTGATAAAATATGAAATTAGTGTTTTTGGCAAGCTTGAAAACAGCTAATATTTTCAAAAAGTTTTTAACTAACTTCAATAATAATTATACATTGATTGACATCAAGATTATGTAACGATTTCGTACAAATATAATTTAATATCCTCAGGCAGAATTGTAATGAATATCGAACATATCACGTGACCACATGTAAAAAGACATTTAATACTGAGTTCGATAAATTAAGCGGGGAAAACCATTTACTATGTTTGATTTTGAAAAACCTATCTACGTGTGAATGTAAAAATTACAGATGTGTGACTATTTTTCGAATTCCTAACCTACCGTCATGGTAAAACAAATAATATGAGTTTTAATTTTTTTTTGTTTACAATTTTAAACAGTAGCAAAATCAATCGCTTAATAAATAAATAAATTCTTCACTCTACATAAAAAATCTAAAAATGAAAACATTTCATGTGAAATTATTTGATTATTTAAAAAAAATACATAATGTGTGCATTTCACACTATTTATTAAGTGTATAAAATATACACTAGTATGTATACGCTTTATACGTATAACTAATGAAAGAATATAATGAAATCATATGTGTAACTAAATAAAGTTAATTAAATTTATTAAAAGTTTTATGTCCTATATTTACGTATAATTAAAAATCCTGACGGCTTTAAAAACTTTTAATAAGTTTAATTAACTTAATTTCGTTTCACAATGCACAATATACAGTTTTATTATATTATTTCATAACGTAAAACAAACATTATTTTATACTTTTTATATGGAATACCATTGAAACAATTTCTAAGACTAAAATACATTTTAATAAACTATGTGGACTTTTAATTTATTAATAACTAAATATAATATCAATACGAATTAATAAATGTGTTATTCGTCAACCGGACCTAAAACGTAAATAACTGAAAATGTATTTTACCAATATACACCAAGGGTAGTTATTACTATTTGTAATTACTCTGAATCAAAATCCTAATCTGCAAGCAATGAATGTATATCTTTAGTTGAGAGATGGCATATTAGTAAAGTTACATTATACTAATAACAATGAGGCTTATCAAAATAACCTCAACACAGCCATTCTTCTAAATTATTAAACGGTCTTCATTTAATCATAAATGATTGATGTTTCGCTAATCTTCAATCAGTACTCATCCATCCCATTGCCTCTTAATAAACTAGCTAAGAGGTCTTTTAATAATTTTAGATAACATCTAATAAACATAATTCATTAAAACAATTTAATTTTGTGAAGTGGCATTAATACAAACAACAAATCACAATCATATTATGCTTAATTATTAGATCTAAGTATATCAAATTTTGTTACACATACAATATCATATAATAGAGGTAAGTACTCGAAGTAATATAAATATGTATGGTATAATCTCAAACCCTAAAACTAAAATGCGATTCCACGACAGTATTTAGGCAAGATTTTAAAGTAATATTTATAACGAGATAATGCATTTTATACTTACTAAAGAGTTTCCAAACTTGAACCACGTCCAACTTGAAGTGTTCCATTAGACCGTACCAATGGAAAAGATGAACACAAAGTACTGGAAGCGATCTTCCTACAAAAATGAATAAAATATATACCGTTAGCTAAGAAAATACTTATTGATAACTTATAACATCACAAAATATAGTAAGTAGGTACTCTTGATAACTCGAAAACTCAAGGGGACAACAAATACATACCTAAATCACTACCTATATCGTTTATAAGACTATCATGTGTATGTATATAATACAAATTACAAATATAGTTGAATTTAAAACACGTATATCAATATAATAGTGTGAATAAGTGCATGTATAGTTAAACGTTTTATGTTATTGAGAATTGATAAAAGTATTAAAAATCAAAAAATAAGGTTATTAATATCCATCAAATGAACTACATCATATTTAAAATACCAAATTAAATAAAGTGAACAATAATAATATAATGAGTATTTGCAAAGAGTACTACGGTAAGTTATTCAAACACAAATTTGGGTGGGTACTGTGTGATCAAGAGTATTAAGGTAACTCTTAATAGTTCGGTTGGAAAACTTTTGATTTTCACACACATAATTTAATTGTTTTTAATTGATCCGATTTTTGATTTGAATAATTGTTTATTTTTTATCGCACACGAAGTTTCATGTCATTTTGTGTGGTTCGTACTTGTAATCGCTTAATTTTTAAGATTGAACAAATTAAATTTGTGTAAAACCAATCGTGTAAATAAAATGCTAATCTAAAAGGAGTGCCAACTCAAAAAAGGTTTGTTTAACTTCGCATGTGCGGGGAAAAAGGTAGACGATTTGAGTTCGTTTTAAAGTAAGCCGAATAATAAGTCTCTTTTGCAGAAAAAAAATCCAAATCAAATTAAAGATCATCCGGCCGAAATATTTAGTCATACTTTAAATCGGTTCTCTAAAACTGCACAAAATTAATAGGTTTTTTTACAAATTCGCTAAATTGTGCTATATACGTCAAAACATTTACTGTTATTTTAATTTACTTTACCTCGAGAAAGTATTGTGCAATATGTGTTTACACAAAAGCTAAAAAATTTAATTTAATTTCAAAAAAAACGTCAGCAGTACGTTTAACATAATAATAAAACTAAAAAACATTACTCCCACACATACCAATAACATTTTTAGTTTAAACAGTTGTCGCGTAGAAAACATCGAACACGTTAAGTACATAGTTTAATTATTGTAGAATGTTCGGGTGAGTAAAATGTGTATGCCGGCGTTAAACGTGTGAAAAGCCAACTGGATTGCTGTTATCCGCGAAGGGATTGTTTCAGAACAATTTCCAAATGTTTACCGTCTAACTTTACGACGAAAAATTGGTATATATAACGGGTCGTGGGATGGTTTCAGAATGAGTCATGTTTTGGACGTTGAAACTCTACACGACTCTACCAAACACAAAACTATATTAATATACAAACATTACAAGCACATGCATATTGTCACGTTAAAAATGTGTAGCATGGCGATGCAATTTAATTCCGACTACTTGGAATTATTCTGTAAAATAAGTTCGATATGACCAGAATAATTCAAGTCATCATTGTGGGAGTTATGCGATCAACTTTACTGACGCAGACATTCGATATATATTCCACAGCATAAACATAAATTCTTGGAAATCAATTTATTCACTAATATTTTATTTGTAGACGGACTTCCAGATGTTCGGCTGGACACTTGTACGTATATTTATGTAAAGTTCACAAATGAATGAAAATAAAAAGACATTGGGGGATGGACATTATTGATTTTTTTTCAAAATACCGTAAAAAATACAATGGAAATATTAAAATGTACATTCCATAGTTATTTAAAAACAATGTAAGTGAAAAATCGGGAAAACGGGAAAATATAAAAACAGTATTTTCTACTTACCCCCTGTAGCTGTGTCTAATGCAAAAGCGTTGAACGGCCATTTCCAGACGTGCTTGAGCACACACTGTGAATAAAATAACATAAATGTCAGTTAATAATATATAGAAATTACACGACTTGCACATTATATTTAATGTGTCATTTATGATTTACAATTCCAACACAAACACGTAGTATATTTATATAAATAGTATTTATATTAATGTAGACAAATATTAAAACATCAGTGAATCTCTATACATTTAATAATATTATAATTTATGTAATGCATTTAAGAATTTAAGATGGTAGATATTTCACGAGTAAAATATATTAAAAATAAAACAAATTGAAAATGCTTTAGAAGCGCAAAAATAATAAAGTCGGAAAAATAGCATACAATACATTTTACATAAATGTGCAAGATTACTGTAATGTTAGTAACGTAATTTAATGTTTTTTAACAGTTGACCTTAATAGTTGGTAATAAATATAATGTACAAATATACATATATTTATAAACAGCTTTGAGTCTGTTTAAAAAAAAAAAAACTAAGTGATGAATGTAATGAAAAAAAAATAAAAACAGTTATATACTAATTAATATTCAGTCGTCATTGTCAATTGTACAGTAATATAACATTTTTATTCCGATAACATGTATACGATACATGTATTTCTTATAAAGATAATAGGCACATTAAATGCATGGCCGGCTTAAGTTATAATCGCCGAGTGCGATGGCCATTACGTCAAAATAATTCTTGCACTCGGCGCTGAAAGAGCTAAAGTCGGCCTTGATTAAATGTATTCGCATTTTAAAGAGGCACTCAGAGACTACTCGCATATGGGTTTTTGAGATTCACGATGAAAAACGAAAATTTTGTATTTGTTTATAAATGGTTGGCATTGGGTGCCGATTAGAATAGTAATGGTAGAAATTAGATTTCTATGTACTTGGTTACTCTGGTAAATGAGTAAAATCATGCATCAAATCGTCGCACGGCCTCGAATAAATGAATTATATCTTAGAACAAACACGAGAGTCGACTGTATGTTAGTATAGGTTCTATTGTGTTCAAAAACTACTCGACCGATCTTGATGAAAATGTCAAATTGTTCTAAGAGGCATCAGGAAAGTTTAGAGAGTAGTTTGAACTGTGTTTGGAAATTGGCCAAGTGCAATACTTATATAATCAATCACAGGCGAATTGTCAATCCCGGTCGAATTAGTTCATCATCAAGATTATGACATCGACGACGATTTGCCGGTGAACTGAGGTTCGCTAAAACCAAGATTCACCTATATTTTTGTAATGATAGCCATTCTCTCTAACTAATGGTGAACAAGAATCTCATAATCATATTTCTTATTACCTATATATAAATATAAAATACAGGCATGTACATTATAATATAGAAATCTATGATCTTATATTGTATGTCTATGCAGCTATCGTGACATTTTATATTTTTATATTTTTTAATTGTTTATACAAGTTATCCAGCTAGTATGGTTTATAAAGCGAAATACACAAATGACGATTTGCTTGTGAACCGAGATTAGTATACTAGATCATAAAAACACCAATACATTATTCGCATTATTCTGCGTGTGATTGTTCATTGTTTTTCGGTCGAAGTCAGATTTTACAGATATAGTAATATATATTATATTAAATGTATTTTAAGACATAATAATATATATTATATTTATTTTACATTTATAATTCCAATAATATTATTGTTTATTATTAGATATATTTTTTTAAATACATGACAATATAATGAAATACAATAAATATTATTATAATAACGTATTTTTTATCCTTCACATAATATTTGTGTATATGTATATAGAACATCTCAAGTTTCAACTATATTCGATTGTTGAATATTACAATATTTTCAAACAAATAATATTAATAAAAATTATAGTTCACTTTTATGCTCAAGAATATTCACAAAGGCCTTGTAAAACGATTTTTCTTTAAAGCTCAGAATAGACCAAGAAAATAAGCAAAAATGGTTATAGGTTCATGAAAGAATTTTCAATTTCAATCCAGAAATCTCTGAATAGTGTCTATAAATCTCATTTGTCTCACTTTTTTCTATTTTTATCAGTTGTAAAAAAAAAAAAACTTAAGACTTTGGCTCAGAAATTGTATCGACCCTTTTGTCTAGTGTTACTGAGGGGTGAACTACTCAAAGAAGTTTATAATACCAAGCTCGTTCAAAGGTTTGCTTCAATCGAGTCTAAAGTTCAAACAATTCATTATAATTGAAAAACGAAAAAGTTGGATGAAAGGAAATTTTTAATGAATCAAATACCGAAAGAAATAATTTAAGTTTCCACCACGAGGACATCACAAGAAAGTCAGCAACAACTGGATACTTTTATATAAACCTAATGAATTGTATCCTTATATAATTTTCCATTGTTAAAATATGTCTTTCTCCCCATGCCTTAGCATTAATACCCGAGGTCTACCGTAAACAAATACAAATATTTAAATATGATAATTCTTTTATTTGAATACATTTTCTACAACCGATTAAACAATTCAAATATATAATATAAAATAATATTTTATAATTATTTAAGTAGGTACCTATATTAAAATATAACACACAGTCAATATTTCATTTACTTCTTAATATAGGTTTGAGTAGATATTTTAATACTCGTGTTTTCGGGAATATTTTATAAAACTTACCCAGGGTTAAGTTAGGTACATGCAATTGGGGAGTTTGGCAGAATTCTTCTCGTAAATACATTAACGGATAAATGATTACAAGATATAATGGAGTATTGAAAATTGTTTTCCCTAAAATATTTCAATCTTATTATAATATAATACATACGTAAAGCAATAGAAGTAATGTTATTTATATTTGATACAATTTATTTGTTTAGAATAAATTTCTGGTTAAGTCAATTTAAATATATACTCGTATACTAGTCGAGTATATAGGATTAGGAAAAAGGTTGTAAATTAACCAATTAACCAGACAATGGAAATAGCTATAGAAACAATAATACGAAATACAAATAAATGAAACTTATTAGTACAGCAATTAGTGGAAGCACCGGTGAACAGAACAGGAATGTGCGAATAGAAACTAAACGGAAAAATTCAATTATTGCTGGTTGAGTGCTTGAAAAGGAGAAAAGTACAATAATTAAACCGGAAAAGCTATAAGCCTATGTACGGAAACGGTCACGATGAAATGCAATCGTATGCGATAGGAACTTAATGCATACTTGAAAGCCAGATAAACCCTTTAAATATTGGAATTATCATAAACATCACAGGCGTACTTATGTAATATAGTTTTAAAAATCGAATCGAATTAATTTTTTTGTTCCTAAGTAATAAGTTTGTATATAATCATGCATTATATCACCATATACTAATACTAATATTATTATTACTTTATTAACTATATAAATCGTCATAAGGATGATGGGTTCTGTTTTAGTGCGTATCATCCTGACTACTTGCACAGCTGCATTGATTGAAAATATACAGAACATTGTTATATTTGCATATTTATACTTCATAAATATTATTTAAAAAAACGTAAAAAAATGATACTAATAAGAATAATATATTTTTATTTCATTTGAATAAAAAAAAATGTGAAATATATTTTGAAAGAGAAAAAAAATCACGAATAAATATAAATAATGAGACAGCTGAGTAATAGGAATGTGTAATTACTACCATTATATTATAAACTGCTTATTTCATAATCATTGTATGTTTTTGTTTATTAAAAAATATGTTTGTTTGAGGGGAAAAATGAATTTATTTACTTTTCAATTTTATGTGATTTTTGAACCAGTGCAAATTTCTTCAAGGTAATTTCAAAAAATGTATAAACTTGTTTCATACGCAAAAGTAATAAATTTTTAAAAGCATAGAGTTGTATAGAATCGTCTAAAAACTGCAGTTTTAAAATAGGTTAAAAGGACATATAATTCTCTACACCGGTATCTCAATAACAATGATAAATATTATACTTAATTTTTCAATTAACAATACAATACATAAAAAAAAAAAAATTGAAATAATACATTATAATGTATTCAAACTCGAAAAGAAAAACGGATAGAAAATATGTACCACCTCATATGTTTCACCTGATGCGGAAGGGGAGCAAGCAATTGACCACCCTAGCTGGCGGCCCACTTAATACGGGCCTGCAGGTATTACGATAAAGTCGAATAGTCGAGTAAACTCTGAAGTTACGAATGTTGTCGTCTACAGGTTTGTATAACGATAGAAATCGTCAAAAAAAGAAAACCAAAGACGACGTGACAATGACAATTCTGAGTTTACGTTCGGTCGTTTTCCTACCGAGGAATATGGTAAAAAGATGCCAGAACGGGTATCGCGAGAATTCGTACAATCGTACAAATGGCATATTAATAACAATCACGAGAAAATGTAATTTCTACGTGGGGGTATTGGAGGGATGTTGTCAAACCAACTCAGCTGCATTTGTATTCATTATTTTCTATCACCGGGACTGGGTTTCTGAGGAGATGGGCGTTAGAACACTGTTTGATATTCGAACGCCATACAAAATAGTACACTCGAGTTCGCATAGATCGACGTTCGTACCGCTGTAGTCCGTACCTGAACATATATTTTGCGATGAAATACCGTACAAAGTATCAAGTAACGACGTTGAAACGACACACTGAATGCGTACATTGGACAAATTGTACTCGCGGCGGTGGGGGTGGTGGCGGAGTTTGTCGGGTTAATCGATGGGAGACATTCTCGCACACGCGTTTTCCGGCAGATCACAGCCGTTACGGGTTTCGAGTTTTCGGAGCAAAGTTTTCGGGGCACCTACGGTGTACGTCGGGAGGTGGTTTTGAAAATTATTGTAAAAGCCATAAGCAGGGGTGAAGTATAATGTGTATATATATATAATGTATGTACATGTATATATAAATACCTATAGGCTATAGCTCACTTTATATAGCTATTACATATTATATACGACGAACGTTATATAATTTATACAAGCAAACTATATAAGTATATAATATAATATATATATATATAT